CAGCCCAACCACACCGCAGGCATCGCCGGGCTGGGCATTGCTACTGAAAGGCAACAGGCACCAAGTTAGAGAACGTTCCAGGGACACCACTGCCAACCTGAACAGACTTCGGCTGTGACAGACGTAGATTTCAAAGCAGACCAACATCCTAGTGATTCTGAAAGCCACACAGAGTTAAAAAACAAACCAAAGCCTTCACATTTCAGCAACCCCTCACAAGGAAAAATTTTCACATCCATAATCGGGGATTAAGCATAAGCCTACATTTCAAATGCCAAATTCAGCAGCTTGCATATGTCACAGCTCTGTAACTCCAGCTAAACTATTAGTAGCACTTAAGACATCAGAAGATACTCAGGATTTACATCTCAAACGAAGGCAGCAGTCAATAATGGCTTCAGATTCATATTGCTTTAAGTGTCCTTGGATGGCCAGGATACACTGGCTTCAGTACTCACCTACTTATGCTTTATTAGCAATAATTTAATATATGGTCAGTTCTCTTATCTGGTTTAATGGTGCAGTCGGCACACATCAGATGCAAGAAAAATGTTGGTATTACTACAGAGTCCAGACCCACGCTGGCAAGAGAGGAGCCTATGACAATGCCTGCCCTGCACTCCCCAGCACAGGATGCACCATCACCAGTGAGCCAGACCCACTAAGAGCTTGCCCTGTGCAGCGAGCAGCTGGAGCCCAAGTCTGCCCTGAGGGATCCCAGAGGAGGGAAGGGGTTTAAGCTAGATGAGATTTATCCCCGTCCTGCAAGTGCCATGTCTCTCGGCAGCAGCAGCATACTAGGTGTGCTCCCGGGGCACAGTCCTGTTCATGTGTTCAGCTGCTGCTCTGTAATGTGAACCAAAACGAGGTTGATCTAGAAACAAAATGTTCCCATAAATGGTCTGTCACAAGGAGTGGTAATTTATCTGCAAGTCAGAGAGCAAACAGACTGCGACAGACACACACAGGGTATCTGAAGCTGGAAATCTGTTGCAGTGGGTTTCTCCTAGCTGGGTTTCCAGAACCTAATCTGTAACAGTCACACATAGCTTCCAGCTTTTCTGGCTAAATCCCAGTGTAGCAGTTGCACTTTATTCTCTTTAAAAGAAAAAAAAAAAAAAATCATTTTACTACTGTTAATGGGCATTCCTAATATGATGTAACTAAAAGGCTATCTCTTCTGCAGTGTTTTTCCCATTTTAAATCTTCTTTACAATTTACCTTGAAAATGATACCTACTTCTCAGAGGTCAGTGATGTAAAGCTCTCCACTTGTCCTCCAGCCAGGATGATACTTTTCTCATTCAAAGGATTGACAATTTGATGAAGAAATCGAGTTGCTCCAGACTTCCAGGAGTTGTAGCCAAACAGAAGAACCACCCGGAGATCCGGGTTATTCTTCAGACCTACAAACAAAAAGACAAACACCAACCCTCTTAACATTTACATCCTGACCCCTGAAGTCCAGCCATCCTAGTCTCTCCACAAATAACACATTTAGTAATGGCTTTCCATTGCTGCAGTTTGGAAAACAAGGCCCAAGTTGCCCAGGCATTGAGGAGCTGAGCTGCATTCCCCATGTAAGTGAGAATTTCTGAGAAGAACCTAGCAAGAGAAAGATGACTGCACCTACTTCCTCCGGCTTTTCACTTCATTAGCAGAGCATATGAGTTTTACCACAGCCTCTGAAGGCACAGCTCTTCAGTTTTACTTGGCAGCCTTCATTATCCTTTTATGGGTAAGAACTGAGTATAAAGGTTATTCAACAAGAACCACAATGCAGTAAATAGCTTTACCTGAAAATTAAATACATTACATACACCAGCCAGTTGCTCATCCCAAGGCAGAAACTCCCGGGGTCCTAGGAGACTCAAGAAAACCTCAGTATATTATTCTTCATAAATCATTGCTCTGCTGAGGACACAATGTGAAGAACGTAAACTGTATTTATTGAAATGTGCTGTCTTCTGTTCTACCCTTCCTTGTTACAACACCTGACTTAGGATCTAAACACAAAGTTATTTTGGAGAAGAAGGGAAGCAGCTCCTCCCCACTAGTTTCTAAACTGTAGTGATGGGAATCATTCCCAAGGGCACAAACTCATTGATTGTTATTTTTAACCCATGAGAGGTTGCTCAAATCCTAACAGCTCCGGCCAAACAGCTCTGCCTGGAACCTAACTGAGGTAATCTGAGATCAATACGCAGCATAACTTGGTACTCCAGAGAATGGGAAGAACAAAGATGTACAATTACCAGCTGCAGTGTGCTCTGTGAATGAAGCAAGCACAGAAGTTGTTGCTTCCACACCGGTGCCTGAAACAGCAACACAACACTTTGCAAAACCCCAAATAAAGGCGAGAAGAAGGACATACCTGCTTCAGCAAATTTACTTTCATCAAAGACCCTGTTCTTCAAGTCTTTTGAAAAATGGAAGGTATGAATTTTCACCCCATCGATTTTGGGAAACAACAGAGCAAACCCAGCTTCGCCTTCTTCAATTTCTTGAGGTTGATTGCTGCTTGATCCCATAGGGGTAACTACAAAGATACAAAGCCAGACATCTTGTGTTCAGTGATTCTAATACTTTCATCTACACTGTAACACAGATTAAAAGAGGCAGAACATCTTAGGTGATGTAAACATGACAGCTCATTTCCCTACCAACATATCCAATGGACAACTGGTGTGATTTTTTTGGTGATGTTTTGGTAAGATGAAGCATGTAGGAGTCCTGCTGGCTATAGATCATACTGAAGTCACTTTGGACAAGGAGACAGGGATATAATTGGACATTTCCCCACAGCCACACCAAATGTAAGTCAGTTGGAAAACAAGCACTGTGCAATACAGTTGCCTCAAGCCTTCTGGCCAACTTCTACAGGTCTGCAAACATACTCAAGATTTTTAAGGACCACAAGTTAAATGAGAAAAAGTGTTACATGAGCACGTGATGACAGTATAAAGCAAAGTGACACAAATATTTAGAGTGCATTATTGAATTATGCTAGTGACAACATTCAAATACCCTATTCATGCTGTGGGAAGAGAATTTAAGGTGAGAAACTAGGAAAAAGCTTCCTAATGATAAAAACGTGAAGCACTAGAAAAAGACTGTCAAGAGAGGCTGTGAGTTTTCCACAGTTATTGCATGTCTCCTGGTAGACCATAACAAACAGGTATATACTGAGAATGTCCTATACAATCAGTCACAGTATGACTCTGAAAAATACAGATAAATTCAAGAAACACTGAATTACACTAAGGTGCCAGGAAAAACTGCAATAAACTGCCTGCTCAATTAAATGAATTCTTTTAATTGTAACTGCATCACACAAAGTAAGATTTTAAGCTCCACGTGACTTAGCAGCGACACTGTGAACCCCTTAAAATTCAAGCTAGCGTTGAACAAGTTGGGAGAACATGGTAATCGCTGTGAGAACTCTCCTGTCAGTCTGCAGGACCATGCTTTCAAAAACATATGAAACGGTGGTAAATAGGCACCAGAATAGATGTGCAATACACTGACTGCCCTGGAGCTGATCTCTCACAAAATCACACATTTTCCTCCTACCTACAATCCCTGGGGTGACCAGGCCAAGAACCTGGCATCGCTTTGGCAACAATTTTTCGAGCGCAATTGCCGTTTCTTTACTGTTTCTTTTCCTGGCTGTTAAAAAAAGAAGAAATAAAGCAGAGAGAAGTAAAAATCAGTTGTTCTGAATGGTACTGCAACAAACCCTGCAGTCAGTCCCAGCCCATTTAACCAATGCTGCCCATTAGTGGCTGCCTTGTTAACGACACGGCAAATCTGTGCTAATAGGCAAGAGCACAGGAGTAGCAGCATGCGAACGGAGCCAAAATCCTCCAAGAACAGGAAGGAAAACATCTGTGTAAAATAACATACATCTATGAGCTACGCCTTGTATCACAAAGATAAAACTACGCAGTCACGGGTTTTGCAAAAGATTTACTTTCCTCTGAAATTCAAAAATCAGAGAATCCCCTCTCAGCTGACCCTACTCTACACACTGTGCTTACAACCCCAGCACTTCTTGAAGTGGGACTGAACGACTTCCAGCTTTACCTTTCTTTTGCTCGTGACACTCCTCGTGCCCACTGAACGTCTCTGCGTCAGCTATGTAGAGCACGGTCTGGGGCAGCACGTGCACCTTCTGCAAAAACAAGCGAGAAGTTGCGGGGCCGCCTCCCAGGGCGGGGACAGCGGGGAGCGGGCGGGAGGACAAGCTGAGGAAGACCGCTCCCCGCTGCGCTCCGCGGCCCTCGGCCCTCCCCGAGGCGCGGCAGCCCCGATTCCCGCCCCTCCGCCCTTTCCCCTCACGCCGAAGCCGCCGGGGCGCGACGCCCTCCCTGCCCGCCCGCGCGCGCGCACCCACCTCCAGCTCGCGGGCCAGCGCGCGCACCAGCGCGTGGCTCTCGGCAGGGCCCGGCTCCAGCGCCGACACCCAGGAGACGCGCTGCCGCGCGCGCAGGATCCGCCGCGCGCACTCCCTCCACAGCCGGCACACGCTGCAACGCAACGACCGCACCGGCCCCTCAGCACCGGAGCCGCCCCCGGCCCCCCAGCACCGGAGCCGCCCCCCGGCCCCTCAGCACCGGAGCCGGCCGCCCCCCCCGCACCCCGCCCCGCCGCTTACCAGGCGGCGCGCAGCAGCGCCTTGGTAGGCAGGAAGCCAAGGACGCGCTCCACCACCTCGGCCAGGTTGCCGAGAACGAAGCCGCCCTTCGCCACGGCCTCCATGGCGCCGCCGCTGCCCCCAGCCCCTCCGCAGCAACGGCGCTCTGCGTCACCCGCGCGCCGGCGCTCTCGCGGCTGCCTTCCGGTCACGCGGCGGCGGGGTCGGCAAGAGCAGCGCCGCCTAGCGGCCGGGAGGACCCGCCCCGCTCTCACAGCCCAGCCCGGATCCCCCTCCCCCCCCCCCCCCGCGTCTCCGCACGGACACAGCGAGCTTCGTAAAATATTTTGTTTGCCTTTTTTTTATTTTTATTATTTTTTATTCATAAACTTGATGCAAGTTTACAAATTACTGTACATTGCCAAGTAACTCCGCAATGAGAAATGGAACCCACACCCAAGCATGCGCCGAAGGGGCGGGCCTGTCTGCGCGGCGGCGGGCGGGGCGGAGGCAGAGCGGCGCGCAGGCCGCGGCCCTCACAGCCACGCGTGGGCCCTACAGCCGCCCGCCCCCCCCCGGGCTCCTCCCCACGCACCGGTACAGCCACGCCGGCAGGAAGGCTGGGAAGTCACCCACCGTACGCGGGAAAGGCTACGTACGGGGGGAGCGGTGCCAAACCTCTCCCATCCTTTCGAGCTAAAAACTGGATCTAGAAGCAAATACACAAGGACCCGGGGGTGCCTGATAGAGAAAAAGAGCACAAATCGGAGAGTCAACTAAAAAAAACATAACAAAATCATGCTTATGCGCTTCTAAAAAGTGCTTAATCCATGGTACACACCCTTAGCTCAGCCCCAGAGGGGTGCAAAGGCCTAATGACTAGCACTACAACCAAAATAGAATCGATTTAGGTAAGGCAATGAAACATAGTGTAATTACACAGACCCAGATTCATTTCCTAATAAAGAAAGTACAGTTCCCATTAGTCTTTCAATAACAAAACCACCGTCATGACTATGGCAACATTTCTTCAACCTCTGAATCAGATGATGTGTTTTTGTATTTTATTGTAGCTTTTATATAAAAATTTTTCATTCAAGGATTTTCATCTCTACTTGTGCCAATCACTTTATAAGTTCATTAGTTCACAAATGATTGCAACAACCCGTTAATAAAATGGAACACCTAAAAAGGTTTTTAGTATTTTAAATAACTTCAAGCTTCATACTGCGGCTCTTCTTGTTAAGGAGGTTGAGCCAACAAGTAGCAGGAACAGCCCAGCAAGTTCTGATGCCCCAGTGGAAGTGACTAGTTACAAGGTTTTATTGGCACAGCCTTGCTCTGCTTTAAAAAAAGAAACAAACAAACAAACAAAAAATTAACATTATCTAAAAAAAGAGCATCTTTTCCAAGAAACAGTTCATATTCTCATACAGCCATGAAAAATGTTTAATGACTTAACATACATGTGTTTTTCCTATATCATTAATTTGGAAATACTACAAATGCTGTCATCTTAGACCAGAAAAACTACTGTGATTTGCAAGACCTGACATTTCCTAAAACAGTATTAAACAATGTATTAAACTTCTTGGCTTTAAATGAAACGATACAACGCAAGTCTCTGCAGTCTGCATTTTGCAAAAGGTAAGAAATACACAAAAGTGTGTGAACAACTCACTCCTATTGAATGATCTTTAGTAACTCAATAGCCTGCTGTAGGGAGCTTATGCTTTCAAATAAAAAAAAATAAAAGGGAGAAGGGAGGGCATGGCCCAAATATGCTTAAATCCATAAGAACAAATATGGTAAAGGCCAAAATTGCTCAGTCCAGATACCTAAGAAGAGCGGAATGGTAAGGCTGTAACTTATACTTTACGTGTCAGTTGACAGATTATCCACTAACTTATCTATAGCTAAAGTCTTCAGTACAGCTGTTATAGGGGCACTCATAGCTTGAGTCTGTGTGTTGGAAAACATAAAAAAGAGCTTGTTTTGTTGACATTGGTCCAGGTATACAACAGTCCTCAATGTTAGCCATCTTCTTTTGGAGGAGTGTACCAGCCTAGGGAGAACAGAGAAATGCGTTAGGTGCTGACATTGCTATGTCAAGATGATCTTACCCTCTCTTACTCTCAATTTGTGGGAGATGGAAGCCTAATGTGGGTCCCTCCTTCCCCCTTAAGGTAGGCTACCGCATTGAGACCCAGTGCCCTAAATGCTAGTGGTCTGCAGTAGGAAATAAAGCATGTGCCATATCCAGGATGAGACCAGTATTTGGGCATGAAAACTAAATACTTCCAAGTTTTGTGGCCACAGCTATTCTGAGCTGGACATCAACAGAGGAAGGAGGAACACTGCTGTAACAAAACTAAATGGAATAGAGGTAGAACCTCCAAGACTTCAAGCCGCTTAATGCGCATACATACAAACATGACTACACTGGGATACTTATATACAAATCCCTCCTGTGTACTGAAGTTAGGTACGCACGAGCATTTGAACGGTTTATCCTGCTTCTGCAAACCTTGCTGTAGGGCTAGGCTCAGAAATTGCAGTTGAGTAACTTGTCTCCTGATAGGCTTTGGCATGTTTAACAGTTGAATCATATGTGATCAAGTGTGCATAGTTTTTTTAGCCACTTCCAGATCTCCAATCCCAATTCTCCCAGCCACTACTGTAAAAATTCCTCTATATTTTTGTACAGTGAATACAGGGCCTATCTATGTTGTCCCAGAGAACAGGTAGCAGCCGTAAGTTAAAGACACCTTTCACAGCAGCAGTAAATGCTGTGAATGCTTTGTGTACAGCTCCTGACGCAGGAGTAATCACTGTAGTCAGGGCTCACACACAGCCAGAAGTAAACAGACACCCATGCTGACTTTTGTAGGAAACCAAAACCACCAAAAGACTCCATTAATGACAAGATCAAAATAGAGTAAAATTGGAAAGCATTTTCAAGTCATTATCTTTGATCTTCCTCCCAATAGCAGAGAAGGTGTTGTGTTCAATTTTAGAGGTAGGGAAACCAAGGTGCTCACTACAGTCACGCTGAAACACGCTCCCGTGTTCACAGCCACATGAATTCTCAGAGGACACTGTGTCCAACCTAGATTAAAGAACATCATGGAAGTGAGAACTGGGACTACCTCCCTCATTACAAGGCCAGGGTACCAATTCTGCTGACTACTTTTACATAACATATAAGCCACTTAAACCTTTCAAAGCCTCAGGTCATTTGCTGTCTTCTCATCCTGGCACAACGAATGCAATTATACCTAAAGCACTTGAATACTTGTTTTACGCAGCTGAGACACCATTAACTGGCTTTAAGTGGGGTAAAAAAAAAAAATGTGTCTCGTTTTTGTTGCAGTTTTCCAGCCAGTGCACTTCACTTGGACTTTTGTATTTTTTAGTCTCTGGTCTGTCTTTCCACTTTATCTTTTCCTTAATGGTTACTACTACTAAGGTCTTGCCACACTGAAACAAAGCCTTTCAGGGAATGAGGCAAACTTCCAGCAGGTACTTCACTAACAAATAAGGCACTTGAAAAGCTACAGTAACAATAAAGTTCCTAGATTAGCTGGCAGAAAATGCAATAGAACTACCTTCCAAAAAAGAGTAGGAACAGATGAAACATTCACGTAAGCTGGGAAAGTTGCAATGATTGTTAGTCAAGTTATTTTAAGCACTATTGTCTTCCTAGCGCCAAAATGAGAAAAAGGAAACACTATGGTCTTCCCAAATCAACATAAGAAACTCTGGCACTTCAAGTTTTACTGCAGCCAAATATCAATTCCCAGGTTGCTGTGCAGACAAGAACAAAGTTGCAAGAATATACATACCATTTTTCTCATGTATTTGTACTAGTGACTTATAGGACTGCTGTGCTCTTGCTAGATTATACTGATTCTGCAAGGAGAAAAAACTAACATAAAAACCCCTGTATCTAGACATGCGAGACTTAAAAACAGTTTTATGAAGAAACGTTACAGTGGGCTTACAGATAAAAAACCATGCACAGTGTTACAACACTCCTGGTGTTAAAGTACAAGATTTTCAAGACAAATACCCTTTTTTCTCACTTCTCCTCCATCATAATGACAATAATTTGTATATCCCTGTTGCTGGAAAGGCTCCTCTATCAGAAGGTTCCGAACCTGAGGTAAGTCAGAAGTGTGTACAACCAAACAGCGGGCTTCAGGCAATCCCCACCATAACTCTGTTTTGCTCAGCTACCCAGCTACTGGGTGAGACAGAATTGTGATCATAACCTTACACATCTTACCCAGTTCACTATCCTTGAATCAGTACTTAAAAACTGGCATTCCCATGTCAATCGCATTGACTTAAATATTTAAGCATCCTTTGAAAACAACATTTAGTACTTCAAAGTCTTTTAAAGTTAGGTCCATTACCAGCATGCACACTTGAACTGAATTATGATTTTGATTAATGCAGAATGGTTAGCTCAGAAATATTTGCACGGTATTATTTCTCACCCTCTCAGAAAACTTTGCAGGTGTTTAGTCCAGCAAAAGGAGAACTTCTTAACATTAGTGTATGTGATCCTGGCAGTCAGGGAGTCTTCTACAGCTCTTCTCAGAGCCAGAATTTTCAAATTCCTCCTGATTCCCAATCCCAAATCCTCCTCCTCTCCTGCCCTTGCCAATACAGGGATAGCACAAGTCTAACTACTTACACACCCTGCCCATCCCAAGGTTTTAATCCTCCTCATACATTCATCATTTCTTAACAAACTCACAGTTAACTGCCAATAAGATACTCATACATGCACCAGACATCAAGATAAATCAAAATGCAAATATATCTGCAATGACAATTCTGTCATCAAGCATCTTCTATGCAAGTCAGCAAAGAAATGGAACCCTAACAGTAATTTGTGTAATTGATATACACAGTGCATTTACCTTATTGGCTCCAAACTGTACTCTGGCTTTTCCTTTGACTAAAGTGGCATTGATCTGCATGATGACTGATTCTATTGAATAGGCACTGCTCCAGCCCTGGAGGAGGAAGGAAATATTTCTATATAATGTGTACTTGCTTCTTGTGCTCACCTTGCAAATCTATTTTGGAATGTGTGCTTTGGGATTCCCCTCCCCACACTTCAGCTTTCATTTTAACTACTTATTTTCTGTTAATAACTTTTATTTTCCAGAGAAAATCTGGAAAGCGATATACAGTATTAATACTAAGAACTTGCAAGAAAAATTAAAAGGTTGAATCACACATTTCCAAAATACAGCAAGACAGAAACAAGAAGAGTTCCGTTATTACAGCGTTTACACGTTTTCAGCAAGGTCACAACAGAAATTGCAACTTCTTATTGTAAAAAGCAGAAAAGACTATCTAATGAAGCCATTGAGTGAGCTATGGCAATTTTGCTCCCGTGAAAATTACTGCTTATCTCTGGCGTTGCTTTACCTTCCAGGGTTCACAAAAGTTTCTGCCAGAGCATGCAAATAGTTACTTCATTTATTTACTTATTTTAAAGAGAAAACCAATCACTCTGTCTACACAAGAGTCATCTATGCCTAGAATCTTCTGCATTCCTCACTTCTCCAGAGCTGACTTTGTGCAGTAGCAGTGGCTTCTGGAAAAGAAAACAATGTGTCTTGCTCCACTCTTTACACTGGCTTCCTCTCAGAAATTCGGAGAATTCAAAGTTGATGTGCTCTCACTTCTTGCCTCTTCCTCAGACCTCTTGTAAGCCATCCAAGGTAGAAAAGAAGATCTCACACAAGATCAGCAAGGCAAATCTTGTGGGACTGAGTTTTATTCCACCGTGTTCCCTTTGGAGTGTGTAATTTATTCCACACAGAGATTCTTCAACTCAGGGGAAACACCCATTTTCATTATTTTAAAGCATGCTTTGTTATTATCCAGATAACAGAGCCTGTGTTCACCTGTTTAGTAAGAAGTTCCATGCATAATGCACCTCCACCTAGGACATACCTAAAAACAAACATGAAAGAAAATATATTTGACATCAGCAGTTAGTAAAAAATTAAACTGTTCACAACATCTTAAGCTCTTGCAGGCAAGTTTGTTAAATTTTTTGTTCACATAAAGCTGAAATGCCCTTTAACCAGTAATATATTGTAACTAATTAGTCGTATTATACTTATACACAGAAGATTAGCATTGTAAGACCAAAAAAAAAAAAATTTTCCTATACTAACTACGCTTAGTTAAAATCAGTGACCAAGCCAGTCTGCACAACTGCTTAAATAACTGTACACAAACCATGAAAAACAGAAGGTTGCTTTTTTACAGCTACACTATATATACATAGTACTGACATGTAGTTGTAAAAAAAAAAAAAAAAAAAAAATTTCAAAAAGCCAACAACAAGAAAAACACAACCAAATTTAATTTGGTAGAGAAATTTAACACAATTCCTAACAATGTAGGTGCACCTGTAAATCAAAGATGTAGACAAATGAGATAAAGCAGATCTTCACTTGCTCTTTTCCTATAAACCACTTTCTCTTTTCAGTAACACTTCATCATGCATTGTGCTGACTGGGGCTCAGCAGGAAGAATGCCTTGTCACCACAAAACCTGGACTGAGGGAGTAGAATTTATCACTCCAAAAATGTAGTCTCCCCTATGATCAAGTCATTCAAACAGCATAGATCTGTATGACATTCATAGGGAATCGATAACTGAAAACCTTCTGGGCCATTCTTTCTTTCATTCTACAAAGAAGAACAGGTATCAGCAACCCTCATGAATGCTATTTAACTGCACTAACCATTTCCTGAATGCAAAAAAGATGCATGATAATTAAAATCAAATGAGAATCAGCACCAGCTATCACAGACTACATTTTCAAATGTACAGGCATAGTTTCCCGTCAGCAGGAGATGCATAAAAGCCTTGGAAGGTGGATTTAATCTTCTCTCCGTGGATATATACAAATTTCTGTGCCACAGACAGCAGTTCAAAGTGGCTTAGTTGACTTTTGGAGCACGGTGTCAATAAAATTTAGTATTTTCGGACTAGCATTTGAGGAGTTTTTGGACAAAAACTTTATGGCAGTGTTACCAGCAAGAGTCCGTTAAGACTATACAGCAAATTCAAGGCAACACGGGGATCAAGACAGCTTCAAAGCACCAACTCCAAACACCCTACACAACAGGAGGAGTAACAGTGATGTAAACCATTCACAACGAGGCCAGTTCTTATATATTATGGCAGTCACAGAGTCATTCAAAGCTAAACACAAACTAAGCAATTCGAAGAGAAATTGCACCCAGCTATTTGCCTACTACTGGCTCATAAAGCTTGAGAAGCAAGTCCCCCTATCACACTTTGAGCTCTTCACCAAACTCAAGGACCACAGCAACTCATGTATATGTTTAGGGTAAATTTCTTGAAATCTACATGGTAGTCTCAAAAATATTCCCTGCAAACCCAATTAACCAATCATGTGTTATAACATTTTTACTGCAAAGTAAAATTTCTGTAAGGCAACTCAAACCTACCCTCCTGTGAGCACAGGAGATACCACTCGCACAAAGGGAGGATCAAAAGGGAAGTTATCCTGAAAAGCATAACAAAAAACAGGTTAAGAAATATACTGTGACACTGTTTTCCTAAGCAGGAAGTAATTCAGTAGCCTTATTTGGCAAATCAGATTTAAAGCAGTAGAATTTTTCAGTTCTGTAAAAATCACTTTTCCATAGTAATGGCTAAAAAGCAGTTTTTGGGAAGCTTTAGTGCCAAACGTAAAGTTGCAATTTTCTTTTTTTTTTATGCTACAGCTCCATATTTACCCAAATAACAGCTGAGGGTCCTTTCAGACCCTTTCCACAGTAAGCTACAAAATTAATCCCATCATTTATTCCCCTAGACACATACCTTAAAAGAGAAGTTGAGTAAAATGTATTCTACACCTTCTTTTTCTTTTAAGACCTGAAGATCACTATGCAGTGGGCTATCAGGATCAACCCTATAAAAGAAGCAGGGGGCAGACCCTAAGTTGAAGTTAATATTTTCACTACCTGTAAGTAGTAATTACTCTTAAAGAGCTCCTTTACGTATTTCTAGTTTACAAACTGTAATTTCAGGTCAACTGTAGAAAACTCTTGCTCCCTTTACAAAGTTAACACTTTGCCATGGGATCAACATGAAAGCTTGCTGCAACGTACTACATTCCCAATGCCATCAAGTGTTATTTGAACAGTTAGCACAACATAACCTGTTTATTTGAAAACAGCAATTTCAATTCTCTGCAGTTCACTGGAAATGTATGTTCCAAGAAAACAGAGGAACAAAAAAATTAACAAGAAGACTGTAGTGATCTAGTTTTCAGTACATAGTTAGTGAATCCTTTATGGAATATGTGATTGTAGTTCTGTATCAGCTGTTAAAAGAAATCTGTATCAGCAGAAGTACTAAGGCCAGCAGCTTCTGCTCAGCAGAATTTCACCGTTTGCTGCAAAATGCTGGTGGTGAGCAGCTTAGACATTAATTCAGACACTACTGGGTTAATCCCACCTGGGCTCTGACACTCCAGCAGCCTTTAAAAGAGACTAAGTCAAAAAATACCTGCAGCAAGCCAAAAGCATGTGTTAGAGGGATTGATGGGCTATTAAATCCAATCCTCTGCTACAGGTGAAACCATAAACTTACTAGATCCCATTTCAGAATTACTTGGGCAGTTTGTCCGCATCCTACCAACAGGAAGCTGTTGCAGAAGAAAATCTCCCAGTGCTTAGAAACCTATAATTTCCAGCCATAACTTGTACTAGCTCAGTTCAGAGTTACTTAATTCTAGTGACAATACTGTTCCTTAGTCAAATGGCCTTTTTCCTCTCTGACATTTACCCTCTCAACTACTCTGCACACAGTTCATTTGTTCTCAGACACTTTTTGCTGGGATAAACACACACAATAGTTCTTCTCTTGGTCATTCTGGAAACCACTTGTTGCATGCGCTCCATTTTCTCTTTCTTGAAGGCAGAAAATCAGATCTGTTCATAGGACTTGAAAAGAGGTTTCAAATCACTGCACAGTGGTTTGAGCACTTTGTTATAGAAGCACTCGATAGACAAGGTCTCCTGTAATACGGCACAGATTTTTCTGACATACATCATTCCTGACATTTTCAGCTTCAAAACGTTCACATGCCTATGACTACACTAAAAAGGAAACAAAATATTTCAGCAGCTGGTGACAAGTCTTATCACTAGGACAAGGCAACAATTCCTACAGGCAGGTCAACTAGCGTGTGGAATCACCTTATGTGCTTATACTCAAGTCACCACGGCCTATCTGAACTGATGGAAATTCTTTCATCCATTGCCATCATTGCATCTTTTTGGATAGGGTTTTCCTACCTACAGGTTACCCTTGTAGGATGATGGCAGATGATCCCATCACCAAGAATAATTTCAATAGAATACCTCTAGAATTAAAGTTATTGGACTATGGACACAAGAAGATGAGTTACCATCTGATATACACAGTTAAAAGCAGTACGTAAGAAAAGACAAATTATATAATTATGTAAGTCATAATTATGTTATGCCTAAAAGTTTCAGTCCTATGTGTCTGCTCAAGTGTAGAAATAAAGAATTAATGACACTACAACAGTTCTGTTCCTTATATCTTGAATGAAACTAGAAGTTGCATTTTCTTGAAAATAGAACCAAACAAAACCAAAATAAAACCACCCAGACAAAAAAATGTCATCATTTAGGTTTTTGTATTTTGGAGTAGTTTTAGAAGGAGAATGGAACAGTAATGAAAGTTACAGTGATACGCACTGTGTTGGCTGTACAAAGAGGGTTTGGTTTTCAGCCAGCTCAGTTCCTACAGTTCAATCTCTGTATGCATTTCTGTACACCAGAATTGTAGCCACCACACACTATTTTATATGCTGTGCCTAGAGATTCTTTTTTATCAAATTTCAGATTCTCTGCAGCAAAAATAAAATGGATTCTTCAGAACATGAAAAAACTTTAATAACTTACTTTAGTAGCTTAACGTGCCATTCATACAAGCTGTCATTTACCAGTTCCACTGAATATATCCCTGCAGAAATATTAGATAGAGTTAATTATGCACTGAAAGCTTAACAAGGTAAAATTTAGCAAAAACATTCTCTGCTTTTAAGTAAAAACACTGTCAATAGATGTAAGCAATATGTAAGATACTAACATACTGATACTGGGGCTCATCCTTCCTCCAATAGCCGAAGCGGTTCTGAGCAAGTACAAGGAAAAAAGTTCTTTCACTTCTATAAAAAATTCTACATGAATCAAAACGTTTTTCTGACACCTAACCATTTCCCCCCCTCCCAGTTCCCCTTCAAGCTTTCCACAGCTACAACTCCAGCTTGTTTAGTACTCAGTATATTTTACACCAAGTACATGACCAACATGCTTTTAAAAGACTTTGCACACAATCTGAGTATGCAGCATTATTTCATGGGTTCTCATCAGTACTGGCAGACCAGGACAGGACACTGGACAGTGTATGGACTAGAAACCTCCAAAAAAGATACTATATTGGATGAAGCCCATTCTCAACAGCTGACCAAAGCCATCAAAAGAAGCCAGCTGGTGATTTTCACCCGTCTATTTGTTTTAAGCACTTTAAACGACAGTTATGCATTTCAGTCAAAAGGTAGGATGAAAGCTTATCTGCCATTTTCTTGTCTACTCAAGCCTCCTCTCTGCAGAACTTCACAAGTAACCCAGGAAAAAGATAATAAATCTTTTACCATAATACAAGATTTAGAAAATGGTGTCAGTGACGTTCAAAAGTCTAATCTCTTCCCCCACAAACTGTTCATGTATATACACAAAACAACTACAATTGAACTTGTTACCTGGGCTAGTGTTTAACTGCATGTCTGTTGCTAACAGCATTATTTGGAAGAGATATGCAAATCAGGAATCTGCCTGGGATTTCTGAAGGCTATACAACCAATAGACTGCAGTCACCACATTCTCTCCAAGGAATTACAGCATTAATTTCTGAGTTTTATTATTCAAGGATATATTATCTTGCACTTGAAACTTAAGCATTAGTACTTGGAGTACAGATGACATTTCAAGCTGTCCAGACACCTTTACTAGGAAAGCATTCCAGAATGCCATAAACAAAGTGAAGAAACCATGCTTTTTTCTCCTTACCACAGCGCCCCAAACAAGTGGGCACCACAGCCAAGATCATTATTTCAAATTTTTCTAACTCTAGGACAACAAAGTAGGTGTGAAAACTTATTCACTGTGCTCTCAATGTCCCTTTTAATCAGCAGTTAATTCAGACATACCACACATTTCTGTTTAAGCATGACCAGAAGGAGCTATCAAAGCTTTTTTCCAGTTTCCCAGATCCAAGGACAGTATTTTCTGAATTGCCCTTAGTATAAGTGGAAGTTACAAATTATAAGAATGTCAATTTATACTGCTCTAATATAATGACAAAAGAGTTGACATTCAGAACTTTCCTCACCGTCAACTCTCATTAGTGATGAACCTATTCCACTGTTGTACCCAGAATATTTTCTTCTACCTACAACCAAAAGGGTGTGAAGACTGGAAGAAGCAGCCTCTCAGTATTAAAGCTTTGGCACCTAGCATGAGTATAAAATAGTTGTTACAGAAAACAGAACAAATTACAGTAAGGATTCTGACAATATCCTAAATAATGGAAGATCACAAGAGACATTCCATTAGCTTGTTTATTCACAAGGCCTCTAGCCCTATTCGTGCATTCCTTCCATCACCCTAAAAGTCCTGCTCTGACCCAGAATTCATGTACCAGTCCTTCAGCTCCAGGGTCCACGTGTTTTGCTAGCTTCCCCAAAGGAATATCTTTTGCTGGTCTTAAGAGCTGTACTGTATCTAAATCAGAAGTTCTAAGAGAGTTCTTCAGAGGTGCGCACAGTTCAGGACTGACAAAAACGCACCTTAACAAAACAGCAAGCTACTTAACCTTTCAGACACCCATATTTTGAGCTGAATAGTATCTGTATGTCCTCAGAAACAACAGCAGCATCAGGGTTGCTTGCTGTCTTTATATACAAGCTTCATAACAACACTATCCAAAGTTGAGAAGGGGTTTGTCTGGCTTTCTTAAATAGTCAAGAGACATTATTTGGAACCAGCTCATATGCTTTTTTCTTCATTTAGGCAGTAAGAAGAAAGAAATTACTGTCAAGAAAAATTTATCTGATTAGTACCAGTTTCTGAGAGTTCCTTAAGGTAGGGCAGGGAATCGAGGTAGGTTCCCCTCACTTAAACACAGGGGGTTTTTTTGTTTTATTCCTCAAAGAAGCCATCAGTAGTGGCAATGAAGTAAAAGCAAGCACAGAGAACCATGAAACAAGCAAAAAATGAAGAGATTAAAAGGTAGGATAAAAACCAACTCCTTCCAGAATAGAGGCAATGTCTTTCTTACAGCAACTTTACTCCAAGTAGAAGTAAATGCCATACAGCCTTTGGATAAAAGCAGTAAGTTGAAGTCACTATATATAAACCATACAGCTGCTAAAGATATGAACAGAAAAGATTTCATTTAACATCTCCAAACTCTTTGTTTGTCCCCCTGCCTCCCTACCACCCCAAATTATCTTAAGACCTTTGTGAATTCTCCCATATGAACTAACCAAATATCTAACTTTGTATTTGGAAGTGAGATCATCTTAGTTTGGCAGACTTGTGATTCCTATTATCAGAACAGGTTAATGAAACTCTAATTTACAGCAGAATAACTTAAATTGCTGGAGTATATTTTGCTTCTGTTAGCTCATAAGAAAATGGTTTTCTGTTTGTTTTTGAAATTAGTTCTTCACTTAGATCTTCCAGGTAAACAAGCAACTTTCCTGTTGACAGCAAGCTTGTACTCATCCTTTGCTTGACCTCCAATAGCAGTATTTCAATCACTAAAGGAACTTAAATTCCAAAATGAATATTACCTTGAATATACACCCATAGTTGAATTCCTGACAGTGTTTATTAATGCTATTTTTTATAAAATAATTTAACAGAAAAGAAAAAATTTAAAGGACTATTACTACAAGAATTATTCACTTCAGAAGTCCCAGTGTTGTTCTATTGTCAACCCTGAAAATGTGTAACCTCACATACACTAAAATAAAAAGTGAACCTTATACAACTAAAAAGCAGCCTTAGATTTTCTGGCTTACATTACAAAAAATGAAGATAGTGTTAAATTACCTTGCAACAGTTACCAGAACCTTTAAGTTTCACAATGGTTCCCTTTGTGTGTTAATAGTGAGAAATTAAATTAAGGGAAAAATGGACTGTGGAGCAAGTACTCAGAACAAACATAACATTAAAAGAAAAAAAAAAAAAGGCCAATTATCTAACCATGTCCCTGCTCACATGGTGATAGTTATCTAACAACAACAGACAGAACTAGGCTATAAAAGCAGGAGTTTTGTGCAGAAAGGAACCGATATTTAAATTCACTCAAATCCTAAGACTACATTAAGCCATAACGAATTAATTTCGGTAAGTTTTAAAACATCATTGTTTACTGGTAAAATTTAATAAATGTATCAGTAGGACAGTGTTTCAAAGCAGGATTGTCATCTGTTTTATAGTGTCAACATCCGCTTGACACTTTACTTCATTAACATGTTTTAGAGATTGACACGAGGCATCCAGTAGCAGTCTTTTTACATATTCGAGACATTAGCCAATAATGTTACTATACTCACCCTCTAGTATCTCAACTTTCTACAGTTTAGCAAGATTTACTTTCCCTCATCATTTAGAGTATGCTTTCCTACATCATGAGTTCAGTCTTTTGCAACTAGTTAAGATTTGTTATTAATCTAAAGACAAGAACTGGCATTATGAAGCAACCCAAATCCTCACCTCAAACTACACCTATTATAGGGGCTCCTTGTTATGCCTCCAGCAGTATCACTATGTGATTAAGCACTATACAGTCTTTATAGTCAAGTAGATTTATTATACCAAATCTTTGTTCCAGCCAGAAAAACAAAGCCTGAAGATCATACACAGGCAGTAAAGAATCTCTCATGCCTTAATGAACATCTGTTTCCAGGCTCTTCCTTAGACCCCTTAATCCATTCTTTACTGGATAGATGGTGATTAAGGCATACTGGCAAGCACTAAGTTGCAACACAGCCTACAAGAAGTAGGCTACATCAGATCAACACTAGGTTACCTAAGCAAATTTATACTTCAGACCTTTTACCACTGTCCACAGCACATAAAACTATTTACCTAAAAGGTAAATGTGATAAATCAAAACAGGAGCCTATTCTCTTCGGCTCTGTCCCTTTACGCATGAATTACAATGCCACAGTCACCAAGTGAGATTTAAGCATGCTAGAAATAAACTAGAGGAGAAGTTCAAAAAAGTAACAGATAGAGGATTAAAGTTCAGACCGACTTTCTAATTAGGCATTCCTCCTGTCTCCATTCTAGCCTGCACCAGGTTCTCATAGCTGGCTGCAGTGATGGAGTTCTCTACTCAGCTGACCAACAGGACTACAACTTGCCTAAAATCTGGTAATACTCAGACAATTCAATATACTGTTTCTTTTGCTGAACTAGTTAGGCACAGCCCTTATATGGAGCAAATAGAACAGCCAACCACCTACCTACCTAAAGCTAATCAGTGTTTGTTATTCAAACAAATTTAAAAGGCAAGCTTTTTTTTATATTGCCATTTGTATCCTTATTCCAAGGAATATATGGATCTTGGGATCAGATTAACACCATCACAAAACACTAGAAGTAACAGCAGTGCTATCAAGGTTAAATACTGTATGATCACAAAACCTTCTGCTGTTGAACACAAATCCCTTTACAGCAAGCATATTCTTGTGAGCAGTACTACCAACTGGTAGTGGTCAAAGCTTTGGCCCTATATATCTGGACAGATGAATTTCAGGTAGTTCTGAGAGCTCAAGAAGTCCCACAGGAGTAATCTTGAGTTGCTCTTTGTAGACATTCACCCCAAAAGCATTCTCATAGTTACACCCAATCCTGTTAATTCTCGTATGAAGCTTTGCATAACAAAAAGGAAGAACATTTTACAGGGTATGTATCTGACTGCCTTTTTCTCCACAATTACATACCTTATATATAGTCTCATTGCATAAAATAGTGTATCTATGTATTTTTATTTTTTTATATATGTGCACACATATATACGCATACACACTTGCATATACATGTACATAGGACAACAAAACACAGGAGGAATAGCAGGAAGTATGTGCCAAGAGAATTATTTTCAAATGTATTTTAATAAGGGAAATATGAAGCATTTTACCTGTTTTATAACTCTGTGATCTATATATATCCCTGAGTTCTTTCATAAGTCGATCTGAAGCCTGAACTGACCCAGAGACTGCACCCTGAAACAAACAAAAATGACTCCAAATAAGCGTAAAGTAATATTCACAAACAGCTTTATTTCCATTACAAACTTACATTAACTAGCAGGTATTAAGAATATATTAATTTCAGTATTAGGATTAGCTTTTTGAGAAGTTATGTATTCTAGTGAGCAAAGACTACTCAAAAGAAACAAGACACTCCCTCTAAAGCAGCACATTAATATATACTACTACATGGTATAAATAATATGAACTTTTAATCAAAGTACAACAGACATTTTTCTGTAAAGGAGTTTAATCTCTCTGGCATTTGATTTCAAAGATGCATCCACAGTATGCTTCTAATAGGGAAATATTTCCTTTTATCTTTGGCTCTTATGCACTGGAAGAAAGAGTAAGACCAAACCAACGAGCAAACTTCTGCACAAAAGGTTTTACTGTTTTCTCAGAAAAATATTTTTATTTGGTTACAAAAAAAAGTACAAGAGTTGGGAAGTATCCACTATAGAACAGTAGCTTCTGGATGAAGTAAGACCAATCAAAATATTTGGAAAATGCAGAACAAAAGCAACAGTATTATTTGCAACACAGTGAAAAAAAAAAAAAAATCACCTATACAGAGGAAGACTAAGGTAAGTAACCCTTAAAATACCAAATATTTTGTTGTGATTTGTCATGTGGCTTATGCAACCAGGGCAGAAATCTCTTCTTTTAGAACTCAGTTCTGTATTACACATCATCTCACAGTGACAGAAAACTAAGCATACAGTTTCTGAACCTGATATTTCATCCTGAGATACAGTGCTAAAGCAAAAAAAAAAAAAAAAAAAAAAGGAGACAGTTTAAAGTGATAGTCATGTAAAATATGACTGACTGAAAACGACCAGTTATTGACAAACTAATAAATACACCAGTTAACAAGTAATTAGCATCTATTTATATCAACAACTGCTGCATTGGATGTATTCTGCACACTCTCCCAACACTGACATTTCTGTGACCTCGGTATTAAATTTTGCCCCAATTTTCTGAGCTTTAAAGTGATGACAGAACTCTTCCCTCTTACAAAATTATAGTGCTTATTTAGAATAACATGATCACCAAAAGTACCTTACTCTCTCCCAATTCCATGTCAAAGCTAGCAGGAAAGATTTTGATACCAAACCTTACATGTTACACAATTACCCTGCTTATACATTCCCCCAAAATACCATTTTACATTCAAGATTTCTGAAAAACAGAGAGATAAAAATTAGCGTTACAAGATTTAAAATATGGAAGAAGAATGAGGACTCCAAATGAGGTAAAGTAGCTATCACCCTAAATCCCAACCCTGCGAAACTTTGGCTTTCACCAACAGTCTGTTTCCCAAAGGTAGATTATTTCATGAGGCCCGTGCAGTTCTCTGCAGCTGCTTGGACTTCAGTCACTCCCACTGAAATACAGGCTAATACATGTGGCTCATAAGCATGGTTTTGTGGTGGGCGAACCATCTCCAAAAAAACCCCACAACCACCAAACACAAAAAATGCCCCCAACTAGAATGAAGTTAAGTTCAGTCTCTCTACATAAAGTACTGAATGATTACTTCATGGGTCTGTTTTTCTACTTCATTTAAAAATTTGAAGAGATTTGGTTCTTCAGTTTCCTATCAGACACTATGAATATCTACAAACAGATCCTTTTTGGACAGAAGTGTCAGAGAAGTATTTCTGGAGGGATCTGAAGCAGCTATAACCATTGTCTAACACCTGAAACATCATCACTGTTTGCCTGAAGACAACAGTGATATTTTATGTTCTATAAGGTCTTAAATTGTAGGATCAAGTTATTCCTTAGTAAAGATTAAATATCAGTAATGGTTACTTGATGATAAAGCCTCCACATACTCCTTTGTCTTCTCTGTTCAGTAGCATCATACAACATGCTTAGCTTCACACTAAAATCTGTAGACTAATCTTTTAGGCTATTCATTTTCATATTCCACTGGATTTGATTATGCAGATAACTGAAATTCCACTAGTTTTTCTTAACGGACCAGTATGAAGAACAAACTTTTTAATTAAATATGCAAATAAAAAGACAACTCCTTTCCTCTGATTAAACAAAAGCTACATAGCTCCAGACAAGTAATTTCTCAGTTTACCGAAACCTGTGTCTATAAAGCAGTAACTGACAAAGGGATTTCTCTTCCTTTAAGAGCAAGCAAATGAAGTTTTATGGGGAAAAAAAAAATGGGTTTTGATATATGTTATTTGCAGATTACCACTATTTATATCCACTAATTGCAGATTAGGTGAAAAAGTAATCATTACACTTTATAAGTTAACACAACACAGTGTTAACCACCATTCTGTGTATTAAAACTGCTGTGGTTTTCCAGACCTGTACTGTGAGTGTTAAGATCGAGACTCATGAATGTGTTGAATCCAGAGGAAAGAAGCTTCATAGAGAAGTGTCAAGATTTTGGCTTTCTGTGCAGAGCTGCGCAATATATCTTTGCCTCATCTCCTGTATTTCTTACTGAAAGAAGGATTTTTCTTACATTTTTCACAGAATATCAACCTCTAAACAGGTAATTTCAAAACAACTTAGATTCTCAAAGACATCCTGTGGAAAGCTAGTTTCCTCATTGCATCTTTATTTTCATCAAATGAAGCTACTGAATTTCTCTACATAATGTTGAAAGCTCACCTTTGCATATGAAAATTTAACTATCTTCTGTACTGTAACAATCTAAAAAACAAAACTTAACACACCCACATACTCCTGAGTGCCATTATAACTGCTGATAAACTGAAGTGGTATTTAAAAAAAAAAAGAAAAGGTTAGTTTTAGTGTGCGTAAATTAACCTCAGTGGATTTCATCTACAACTATGTTTTTCACCCTTTTTCCCAGGAGTTTCTAGTTGGGCTGCCCACTCCTTAAATAGCAGTATTAAATATAGTTAGACTTGCTTCTCTAGAAAATTGGTAGACTGCAAACCAGTAATCTATGATCAAGAGAAAGAGGCTAGCAAGCTTAACCTAAGTATTTTAGCATGGGAACTTACTTCACATGCTCCGAACTACCCTTGGAGGAAATTGAAGAGGAAGCCCGCAGAGATTAACCGCTACACCTGATGCCAAACACCACTGCTCTAAAATACAAATTCTTCATTCTGGTGTCACTTTTGTTTTTTATAACTACTCTTAAAAATGCAGTTTAGAAAAGAGTACTACTTGCATCACACCATTGTGTAATATAGTAGAACAATGAGTTCAGTTTTGACTATCACGGTACTAAAATTAGAAACTTTAACTTCCTATATGCAAGTTATAATTTCAAAGACTGAATTCGCTATAAATAACTGAGTAACCTTCTGGAAAAGTGGGACTTACCACTCCAACGGAGATCAAGCTCCCATTTCTCCAGTTGTGAGACCAAGACTTACAGTTGTAACTGCCTTAGAAGTAACTGGTCAGTCATGGGATCTGACAGATATCTATCCTGTGGGGTTGATGCCAAAGCAGACACACACAGCCATTTGATCTGTAAACTGAAGAAGTTAACAGAGCTGCCAGACAAGCTCCAATTGACTTTTCCTATTAAGCAATCAAATAGGCACAAAAAGTCCCACATCATCTTCTGTTCAAGCACACTCGTGGTTCTCCAGAACAATGAGCAGGTAAGCTGGAGAAATCCCTGTCACAGGAGGTAAACGTCTATATGGACAACGTGCCACTTGGTGAGAGTTGCAAATAACAGGAACACCTGGTGCAGGAATTCCCAGAGCCAAAAATGTTGGGACATGAAAAATATTCATGAGATGCATCACCACAAGCTTGGCCTGTTCTCAATCTCTTCCCCTTAAGCATGTGCTTCTGCCACTGCCAGAAACTTTAAACTTTTGTGCAGTATAGGCATTATATATTTCAGAAGTGTTTCTGTCCTTTAGTAGTATTTTACTGTGAACGTATAAATTTGAGTGAAATACTTTATGGAACAGTTAAGCAACTTCTAAGAAAACTAGGACTTCAGAACTGAGCTTCTGCATGCGCTGGTCAGTAGGACCAGGACACACCTAACTGTGCAGAAATCAGCACAGCACATGCCACAGCCCTAGTTGTCTACTGCGCTGAGGTTCCAGAGATACGAGGTTTTGCAGCCTCAGCTTTGATCCTCTGGACATTTTCTTTTCCCCTTCTATCCCTCAAAATAATCACAGTCTGCTTCTCAAATGGGTTATCTGAGGTAGGAAGTTCAGTTCACTGCACTTATAAATTCAAAGACCAGATTGTCTGTTTTCTATCTCATCAGGAAAACACTGTCACACATCAAGACAGTACAGTAAATCACCTCACTCACAAAACATTTTGGATAATTCAGCCTGCTAAAATAAAACACAAAAAATGGAAACTCCTCCAAGATAATAAAGTCTAAAGTGACCCAGAAAGAGCTAAAGAATGCAAGTTTGCTCTACTGTCACTGAGCTTTTTCAGTGTTTGTGCAGTACATTCATTTATGGAAGTTAAAGTAGACTCATTCTTATTTCAAGAATCAGACTGGAAATGAAAACGACACCTTACACTTCATAAAGTCTGAAGGTGAAAGTGGAGACATTTGAGGTTTTTAAAGGAAAGTACATAAACTCCTCAGCAGGAAATGGAAAAAGCTAATAGCATTATCTTAATAAGAGCAGCATTAATCTCTCAGAGGACTATGTGGGGAGAGAACTCTGAAAAGCAAGCAGCAGCAAGTTGTTAAATATTTGAAGTTAATGATGCCAGTTCAAAGACTTTTTTTTACTCCCAGTAAGCAAGTGGTTCTTTAAAGTTATTACAATGTTAAGAGGAGGATTAATTCTTGCTTCAAGTTACATACTGTACCATGAGCCAAATTTATTTCCTGATGCTGGCAAGAATAAGATTAGGAATACTGCCAAGAAAGAGAACTCATTTGCAAAATTAGTAGATACATACTCTTAATTGTATAGAACACACAAACCTTAAAAACTCCTATGACAAAAGTCTTAAATAGCAGAAAAATGTCTAACCTGTTAAGAGTATGTAAGAATGGGACTGCATGCACTCCTTTCCTATGGAAAAGCCTTCAGCATGATCAGTAACTTCAACCCGCATTTCGGTCAAGGGGGGAGAGAATGACCCATGGATTTGGGCCAAAAAACGGGTGAAGAAACTGAAAAGTCTTCTGGTTGCATTGGGTACTAGTCAAAGCCCTACATAAGGCTTCACATTCTCTCTTCCAACAATAAGCATGTAAATGGCACAGCTTGGTTTTACTTTTGTCTGCTGAGGAAAAGTATACAAAGAACTGTGTAGTTTGTGTGAAAACCAGACTATGTTTAGCCATTACATACAAGTTTGTGAAATTCATACTGTCCTTCAAGAAAATGCACGGTGAACAGCTGTGCAGATTTACATTTTGCTTTATGTCAGGATACTGAGCAAACTTCTGCTATCTTACAGCACGTTTAATATGTTCTACTAAAAGTCACATGTTTTGGCAGCATAAAGGGGCATTTAAGTGCTACTAGGTTAGCTCTTTCCTAGGTCAGTAGTGCAACTATAGTTTTCAGTTCTCAAGCACTTAAGAGTAAACCCTCACAAATCCTTTGAGAAATTATTTAAGAAGTGCAGCTATTTCTGGTGACCCACAAAAATACCACAGTTCCTCAGCAGCAGTTGAATATCCTGTTCCCTGTACTCAGCTGACCTTGTTTATGCACCAGCGTTGACGAGAGTGTTTTGGCATGAGAAATGGCTATTATGTAAGTTGAATCTGCTGTTGTCAAACAAAAAACCAGAAGTGTTCATTTCGGTTCCACTAGATGTGGAGGGAAAAAGCAAAAGGAAAGGCAGTATTTGCCAAATGGAAAAGAACAGATAGCAAAAGAAAATCTGCAATTCTAAGAGGCTTTCCACACCAAGGAAAAATGTCAATACTACAAAAACCTTTTCTCAATTCTACCAAGTTTTTAGATGATTGTAAAGCAGACTATGCCTTTGAGGCTGCCTGAGGATTTATTTTCCTAAACAATTGAGAAGTCTTTACCAGTAAGTCCGAGTTATAAATACAGAAATATACAGAATCTCAACAGTCCTCTTCTCAATCTCTGAACAAACATTTAAGTGGAAACAAAACCAGTAAGTGACCATTGTGTTTACGGTCTCGTTTTAAGACTTGTCTATACAGCAAAAGTAATTTGGCACCTTATATTTACCTGCTTTTAAATACTGAAATGCTGATCATGTTTGGGGCTTTTTTGGTGTTCTGTTGTTATGGGTTTTGTTTTGTGTTTTGTTTGATTTTTGGTTTTTTTTTGGTTTGGTTTGTTTTTTTGTTGTTGTTGTTTTTTTTTTTTGTTTTGTTTTGTTTTTGTTGTTGGTTGGTTTTGTTGTTTGGTGGCTTTTTTTTTGAACAGGTAATCCTTACTGTACACTTTCCTTCAGACAACCTGATGCGTAACCATTGAATTCATACACAAATCAAAGAGCAGCCTCTTCTAGCCAGCTATCTCCTGCTGCCTATTTCAGCAGAACATAAGCCTAAGGTATTTTTGACAGATTTGCACTCAAGACGTATTGGAACCACACTGGGACAGGAGCAGAAGACTTGTACTTGAAGAACTGATAGAAGCATTTCTATTTTACTTCTTTTGCAAAGCAGATGGCTACAAACTAAAACTCTCTTCCATGTTAAAGCATCAGTAACTAAGAGGAAAAAGTCTTTTTTCTAAACTAAAGTTATTAAGAGCCAGTAATTCATGACAAGAAATAGTCAAGATTCTGCTAACTAAAGGAGCCTTTTTCCTAAATTCTTATGATAACTAGAACTACCAGAAGTGCATCCAATATTAAAAGTGGATTGGCTTGTCTAGCACCAAGCACTTTGAATACATATAGTTTTCACTACAAATCAGAAGATATTTACAACAGCAATTCTCTTCAATCAAATATAATTTAAGTGCAATTTAGGTTTTTTAGAAAATATTTACTGGAAAAATCAAGTATAAGAACTAGAGCAAAGCTGGTTCCTTGGGCAAAAATCGAGGTGTTACCTACATACCAATCCCCGATTCTTACTCCTTTCCTAAATACAGGTCCCTCCCCTGTACCTAACTACTGCTTACATCCTCAGCTATTAGCTTAATGAGAAAGAGCACATCTTGTGCCTGGACATGATCTACATGTCTGTTGACTTGCCAAACAGCATATAAAAAAAAAAAAAAAAAACAAACCAAAAAAACCCTCAAACTTATGCGCTCACACAGTAGCAGGCACCAGCCCAACCACCTTCTTTCTGTACAAGTGACTTAGGAAAATTTGAGAACCCTTACCTTTGGTTGGTCATGAACAGAAGCATTGAATTTCATGCATTACACATTTCAAGCTTTTGTGAAACAAAAGATTGGATTTCTTTGGAAGCCAGTCTAAGTAAAACTAAGGCTGTGAGACTTCATCATTTCCTCCTACATGCACCTTTGAGAGCTAGATTCTCTAGAACTTGACACTGGTGGCAAAACATTTCTAAGCCTCTGGAGAACAAACAGTTTTTTTACAACTGCCTGCTGGCAGGATCACTCAAGAAAACTGTGATAACAACGCTGCAGAGCTGCTGAAGGCCCTTTCCTTTATGCCCAGCAAAAAACTCCACCACCCTTCAGTAATTTCCACATGGAGTAGATATTAATGAAAAACAAACTCATGCCTAAAATGTATTTAAAGCACAAATTCCTGGGTTTACTAAGTATGTTAAGTCACCCATGAATTTTAATGTAGTCAGTTTTATTAATGGCTTTATTAAAATAAGGGCTCAGCAACAAGCGTCATGCTTACAACCTAGATGCTTTCTGCTGATTCTGCAAGGAGGACTACTTTTTCTAACAAAGGCATCAAACAAGAGACAGAGGGACAGCCAAATAGATACCTCCGTAAGTCAGACAAGCAGTTAAATGCCATTAACAACTGTGAAACCTGGATTTACATGTAAGAGTTGACGCTAGTAAAACAGCTAAAAGGTTTTTTTTCTTCATCCAAAACACCAAGAATACCCCAACTCAGTTTGACAAAACGAATTATGATAGCATTCTCCAAGGCTAAATGAGAACTCTTTGAAGTAGGTTTTGTGCCTCTGTGGGATGTAGGCTGACAACTAACTTCTTGTGCCAAAGATTTTGATGAAAGATGAATCCATTTACTAAATGACCCTGGCATCCTAGCTAGCCTGTTGAAAAACTTCTCCAAAAAAGAGCTACTTAGGTCCCATAACTTGAGATGACTGTCCTATATGTGCTGGAAGGCAGCTACAGGTTGATTTATGTCTAGATGCATAGCAATAGGCTTTATTTGCTGAAAACCATTCCTATTTTAAAGCCAGAAGTACTGCAAAGAAAAAACAGAAGTCATTAACTCACATTTAAGTGATCTTGCCTTTGATTTTTTCTGATTTTTTCTAAGATTGCAAGGTTCTCTTTTTCAATGCCTTCATCCTCAGATTTCTTCCCATCAGGAGGTTCCTCCTCCTTCATATCATAGTGATCCAGATCTTCAATGTCCTATAGAATAGAGGAAAATTCACTGTAACTAACTTAACCATACTCTTTGTTCAGTGAAACCCTTCCAAGGGCATTTAGGGATAGTCACATACTGCCCAGCACTATGCTTTAGTGAATGTTGGATGCTATTTCTATGTAGCTCTAACTTCACTTTCTCAGCCAACAGTATTCACTGGAAACGTAGGGAGCTTTCATGATACAAATGAGACCCAATTTCACAACATGTTTCTGGTCACAGAAACAAGCACAACAAAACGTCCGTGAGAAGTTAAAGAATTTACTCAATTAGCCCATTAAAGTAGTTAAAAAACAGGAACTCAAGGCATTTTAAACAGGGCTTGGGAATACAAAAGTACCCAAATATTAGGGTGTCTCCGAGATGTTTCTAAAAGCAGACTCTTTTTCAATTAGAATCCTAGCTATATTACACTTCTGGCAAACAATGATTAACACATCTGGCAGGGCTACAGCAAGCCTTCAAGAAAGTTAAGTATTAGAAAGCTACATGTACTTTTATTCAAGGTGAACATTTCAGCTAAGATTAGATGCAGCAATTTGGAATTAGGATATGAGACAAGATTACGTGGTCAAGTATTCTGATTACACAAGCCAACATTTCAGTTCTGAGATCTAGCTAAGACACTGAAAAATCTTCCACTCTGTATTCCGAGACGGGGTTATCCTGTTGCAAAGGAGTACTCTGAACTTAAGACAAGTGCCTGTAAGGTGATTCAAGTGCTATTTGTGGAGAGGAGGGGAAGGATGTAAATGCCTTGAGATGAAAAAGGAAGCACTAAACAGCCACACCAGCAAGCTATGAGTACACAACTATCAGATATGCTCCAATATGCAGTGCTCCACCACATCTGTGGCTACTCTTTATGCACCATCTGTTTGCACGGCAGGAAAACCCGGCCATAAATGCAAATTCAAGAATGTCTTACAGAGTATGAAACACACCTATCTGGTGCCTTTGACAACACTGTTTCCTCCAACTGTAACAGATTTTAGACCAAGTATTCTTTAAAATTATCGTGTTTCCCAAAATAATGATACAACCCTAGGAACTGTGAGCTGCTTTTCAATTTAGAAACTGGACTAGATTACAAGTTGATGATGTCAGTGCCACATAAAACGCCACCTGACAGCTTCTAAATGACATACATGACATTTTTTTTTGTCTAAAGTAACCCAAACAGAGTGCTTAAGGCTACTTACAAGTCTGCAAGCAGCAAGAGCCTTGTGACAGCAGGATATGGGAGCGTACATACTACCTTTAAAGAAACTCTGGCTCTAGCAAATGTGGTCTGGATCAGGCTAAATATGGTGTAAGACAGGCTTCTTCAAATTAACCCCAGGACATGGGTAACACTTAGATCTTTTCTAAAGCAAGAGCTTTTATTCAGTGAATGAGTTGCTCACTCTTACTATACTCCTTCATTAACAATCTAAATCTGAAGTAGTCAGACAGTTCTCCTATGATAAGGCTACAACAGTGGTTTAAAAAGGAAGCATCTTGGAGCTATTCTAACATGTTGTACAAGTTACTGAAACGGCTGGTTCTCACACAGTAAAAACCTCATTAAACAGAACACCCTGCTGCCCCTTAAAGTTTACAGTTCAGCATGTCTGTTTCGGATATCCTTCCATTTCCTTCAATGTATTCTACTTAAAAACTAGCTCACCAGTTTAATTAATCAGCAAACTGATTTACGCTTAGCCAGTCTGCTTCAATTTGGGGGCGCTTCCAACTGTATCAGAGCCAGTTCATATGCTGCTTGAAATAGGAGTTAACAATGCAAACTTGCTGATTTGTCACATAATGTTACACTTTGACTAAAGCACAAACCAATCTTCAATTCTCTGTATCTAAGTACCTCACAGCTGAGATCCAGGTTTTTTCACTAGTTTTGTGGTTGAAGTGAAAGCTTACATTAAGGTAACCACCCAAATCTTTATTTATCTTTTCTGTTGAACTCTAGGAAGACTACATTTTACAGCTTGGCCTAATAATTAGCCAGCCACTGCACAGCAAAATGCCAGAGTTCTACCAGATTAGGACAAAAATCTCAGGTATACACATACTTCACCCATATCTTCTTCCTCCTCTTCCTCTGAAGTAACTTCTTCTGTTGTTCCATTCTGCAATACAACAATGAGGTTTCTGCATAAATTGTGCATGTGTTCCTTTCTTTCAAAAACAGGAAGCCTACTATCAAAGAGAAAGCAGTATATATGAAAGTTACACTTATCAGTGTCTGCAGAGGACTGAAGTTTAATGCGAAAGATACACAAAGATGCTTTGACTTTTGCATGAAGCAAATATAAACAGTATGTCACAATTAACTTCACATCAAGTTCTAAGTGGTAATTTAAGATTTGGATAAGGATATCCTAATTCTGAGACAGTGACAAATGCAATAAACAAGTTAGGCGGGTTATAGCTCATGATCTCTTAGCCGTGAAACCAGATCGTAGCTGTGACCAGAATCCATATATGTGCCAGCATACTTTCTCTAAAAAGAGCAATCTTCCAACAAACTTTAGACCTCTGAAACATAATGAATTTTTGTCTCACTACCTAGAACTTCTATGCAACAGCTACTATCATTATATAGCTAATGTTATTAGATTATTTGATAAAATACCAAAACGATACATTCAGCTCATTTTTCATGGCTTTCCATTTCAGGATACTACTTCAAGTTCAGGAAGTTTGAACTGTATAAATACTCAGGAGCATTCTAACGTGCTTGTCCTCTGCTTACTCTTCCTTTGGCAAAGAAGAAATGCCACTGCTGTAGACAATGCAGGGGTCTGGATGGATCTTCAGTCTGACTTATTAAGGCCAATCTTATTTAGCTCACGAATTATCTGACATCTCTGGCCAAGAAAACTTCCATGACTTTCTTTTTGAGTTTCAGAGCATAAGCAAGACTCTTCAAACAAAGCTGCTTCCTAATATTACAGGCCTATTGCCTTCAAGTTGCACTGCTATGTGGGTGGCTGAGAGAAAAGACCTGTAGGATTACAATTTGGCACATGACCAAAATTAAGCAAGTTATTTGTCATTACTATAGTACTGTCACCACAGGAAAACCATCTGTTACGCTACAGGAGTTTTTAGTAATCATGTCATCTTAACATGTATAAGCAAAAGAAGATACCATAATCTTATTAAAAATATAAAGAAGAGTCACGGTCAGTTACCAAGTTTGTTTTCAGCACAATCCAAAACATTTTAGTTAACCAGAACATTTCATAGCCCTTCACAACACTTAATTTCTCAAGTGCACAAAAAATAAACAAGGCAGCTCAGATACTCTCTACCCAAAGTAGTATATGCTCTTGATATCCCATGTCTCTGCAAGGGATTGAAGAGGAAGGAAAACATCAACAGTAGTTCATCCAAGTGCACACTGTAAAACATGTACTCTTCAAGAAAAAGCAAACAGTGTTTACTCACATTTACATTTTGGAAAAAAAGTATATTTGGGGAGCACTAGGAATGCACAGGGATTGGCCTTAACATTTAAGAGCAAATTAAACTGACAGTACAGGTCTCACATATACACCTTTCAATGATACAGAAACTTCAAAATAAATTGTGTAATATTATCACACTATTAAACACATTTTGAAAACAAAATTCAGGTTAAGGACAATAAAAAGCAACAGTGCTTCATATCTCAGTTCTGGCTTACACAAGGTTTAATCGTTCCCACCATCTTGTTTTTTCAGAGCTGAAAAAACAACTCCTTCATTGCCATAAGGAGGTGTCCACAGCTTTTCAATTTACCTGTCCAGCTGGTAATGGCTGATCTAACATTTCAACATCTGGATGCTGAGGAAGATTATATAATCTGCAGAGGTCACATATTAATCGCTTCAGCTGTTGAAGAAGCTATAAAAAAGAAAACATGGAAACATGTATTTAAACCAAAGCACAGAACAATATATTTTGTATTTCCTTCGTATGTTGGTACTGAACTTTCAGTCGGTGTACAGCATTTAAACCTGCACGCATTAGAATAAAGTTTAAAGATGCCTCCTCTTCTCTGTAGTCATTGTAATAAAATCCCCACAATGAGAAACCAGGGACATGGCAAGGTAGAGGTGGCTCCCGTTCATCTCTTCATGTCAAGTGAAAAAAAATCATGAGCAAAAAAATAGTCTGTTCTGGAAGCATCATCCATTCTAGCCATAGGTCTTAGCTACAAATCACTAGGAAATAGTCAAATGGTCATATTCTGTGAGACAAGGTAGTCCTTTCCAGTTTCCTAGGTTAAGGACTGTGTCTTCCAAAAAACAACAGTCTAATTTTCCACATCCTGAATCCCTTTTCAGGGCACACCAGTGAGACACTAGAAGCAAGACAAACACTCTACAGGCATAGAAACCTGCCAATATCTGAACTAGAGCCCAAGTAGTCTGCTTGCCATACCTTGTATCAGGTCAAGGCACAACCTGTTACTATCACTGACTTTTGTTTCCAACTTTCAGCATTACATTGACTGTGTTCTGTTAACGGCAAAACATGGAATGCTTTTCACATACTGTAATGCTATCCCGAAGATAAATTTATTTCTACAGAAACATGGAAATATTAAGTCTGCTTCTTGATCACCATGCTAATTAAGTATACTTCCACAGCTGTTAACTTTCTCTAGGCAGCCTCAGATTCCTAGTTAAGGCCAAGACCATAAAAGACTGAAGAGATTGTACCACTGGATTTCCTAACTTTTCAAGGTCTTTGCATAGCTATGTCAGAAAAACAAATAAAGGACTGCAGAATGCATTTGCAAAATGGTCAACACTTCATTATTTGCAGAATAATGCCCTAGATGAAGCTTCCAAAATTTATATATCCATTTATGGATTTTTTCTTCCAAATGCCGAAGGGAATTTGTCTTGCCACTTGCAGAAGGCAGTGTGCAAGACAACCATTTCTGTACACGTATCCTTCAGCACTACATGCTTAAGAGTGGGAGCCCCCACACCCCTTTAAGTACCTCTCCATAAAGGAGGGAGACTTGGGTAATGTGGCCTCACCCAAGTCACAGCACAGACTGTATTATCCTGAAAGCATGATACCTCTACAGCGCTATTTGGTGTTTGTATACTGTATTTCTTAAAATATACAATAAATCAAGGTATCTAAGAAAAATCTACTCACCCCAAAATATTCTACGTGTCTAAAGCCTTGCTACTGGACAGTTTAAATGCTTTTACCTTAACCTACTGCAAGTGAAAATTCAGCCTCTTCAGGGTTAGGAACTCATTTCCAAGCCCAAATCACTAGTAGTGATAAGCAAATGTTGCCCTTATGCTATTTGAAAGCTTCAGTGCTTTTCCCTTCTCCAGTAGAACTCAACATTTCTGTTTAATAGGAATGTTGTTATTCACTGGGGGCCACGAACTGACATACTAGCCTGCATTACAAGAATTACAGTGTTCTCTGTTATCACACCACGTTTGCTGTTTTTACATCATTTTTGACACTCATCCTTAACTCAAAAATGAAGCTGAGGATACCAAAAGAACTGGTATATCAGCAACACATTTCTTGTGAGTATATACCTGAGATGTGATAGTTTATGTTGTCATAAGCTTTCTGTAACCATCACATTTCTCACCAGTGTTAAGACTACACTTGTCGGAACCTTCCTGGGTGTCTGAAACGTCAGGAAATCTTTAGCAGGCAGAAAGCAGATTAATCAATCAAGAAATTAGTTGTTAGATAAAATTACATCTCTTAGAACTATTATTCTCAACATGTGTAAGATGCTTAAAGTTGTACTGCTACACATTTTGCTGAGAGAATTTTTCTCTGCACAAGCAACACTGCCTCATGAAGAGTTGGAGCATAAACTATAAAGTTCCAGGAATTGTAATTTTCCTCACATAGTTATGTAAAGCTAGGCAAGCCATTAATTTGTTTGCATGTATTGTGAAGCATACAAAAGATCTAAATGGTGGGGGAAGAATACCATCACTGACATTTGGCTGGTCCAAAGCTTGGAAAACCGGATGAACACAACATTAGATAGATGTGTCTCCACAGAAAGAGACAGTCGCGGCTGGGAAGAGTTAAGAACTAATTCCTGCCCTGTTTCCTCCACTCCCCATCCTCTTCATAAAAAGTCCTGTCACCTGATTTAAAATTCAAAGAAATCTTTGCAGCCAGGACCTAACACATGGCAAGCCTCTCTCACTTCCTTCTGAACACAGCAGCACTGCAGGGTACACAAGCACTCTCAAAGCAACAAACTCCTGGCACAACCTGGACCAAATTACACAATGGCTGTGCCTTCTCATTTGCCCTGGCACCAGAGATCACACAACCATGCAGCATCTTACAAGCTTTGTGGCAGATCAATTCTTGATGTGCTTCAGCACATAAGCACCAATTTCATCATAAAGAGGGAAGCAGGAATATGCAGCTGAGAGGAAGGAACCCCTTCCCTGGCAGCAGTCTACGCTTCGGGGTTAGCTTAATGCAATTATCAAACTGCAGTTTCATGTTTACAGCTAAGTCATTTTACTTATCATCAGTTTCTACAATCTGCAAAGGTAGTGGCAGAGCAAGAAGCTGATCCCATCTGTACAAGCCTTCTTTCTTATTGCTATGTTTTTCCTACACGGGAATTCACTTCATACCATTGATCCTTCTGCCATGGATCACCATCACCATTATCCCTTATGATCTGCTCATATGTATGAAAAAACATAGGATAATTTGGACTGAAAGGCACATCTGAAGTCATCTGGCCCAACCCCTTGCTCTAAGTAGGGCCTAGCGTGATCTGGTATGTGTTAATAGTACATGAACAGACTGTATCAAAACAGATAGCAGATTTCTGCCACGTTGTAATAATTTAAACATATTTCTAGATTAACTTTTCATGCTTGGCTAATGTAAAATGAATGCTTAACGCACACACACACACTTTGCTGCTACCAAAGTGTGCTATCAGTACACCAACAGTTTCCCTGTGATACAAATTGCCTAAAGCAGAAACTAAACAGAAATTAGAATGCATAATCCACAGGGTATTAAAGGAGCAATGTAAATAGCAAAGTAAATATAATATGAGTGACCAAATACAATGACAAATATAACTAATTATATTGATTATAATTAATACAAAATAATAACAAAATATAAAAAAGTAATCTATACATCTATAATACAACTTTTAATGTTTCAGGAGTTCTGAGAAGTCGGTAGTTCTTATGGACACCGTAATGCCATTTTAGAAGACAAAAACACCTCTTAGAAACTTCTGTTTTCTGTATTAACATCTTACAAGTCTGGAAACAGTTTAGAAAAATTTTTCTGAAACCTATCCTACATTAGGAGGCTTTTTTATGCACGAAGAAATCTTTCTAATAGAGTATGAAAGTATTAACAATTTCAGGATACCTTCAATGATATTAATATAGTGCTGTGTTTACTATGAAGCACCTTGTTTTCCGATTACCAAGAAACATGGACTTAAGAAGCATAGTTTAAGTATACACATACTTATTTTTCTACATGTATCTATCTACATATGTATACACACACTGTACCTATATAGAAATAAATGAATCAATAAATCTTAGCCTACCACTGAAGGAAACTATTGAAGAAGGATACAAGAGGAAACAGAGGGAAGGAATAACTCATTTGGAGTGTGACCACTACTTAGCTATCAGGCAGTCTGTGACAGTAACTGGCCTCAAACACATTCAGCAGTCTTGGGCAGTTTCAGAAAATAAAGCAAAGCTTCTTCCTGCATTTTGTCTCTATGACTCCCAATACATAATTAGTTGCTGCCACACTGGTAGTTTGCAAGAGCCAACATTCTTTCCTGAAATACCATCATGTGGGACTAAATCTAAATTCTTCATACAGAAGCAAGCAGTGTGCTTAGGGACAGGGGCTTATCCAAGTTGTACACATACTTATGCCAGGAATTCTATACTTTTGGTGCCTTCCAAGCAAATTTAAGCCCTCAAGGTTTGAAGAGTGTGAGAATTAAAGCTGCCTGTCTGAATTTAAGTCCATTTCACTATTGCCTTTAAAAAGCAAACCTCCAAATCATGTACAGTTATATTTAATAACCCATAAGGTAAGGTCTGAGACTGTAGACTTGCAACTATAACTTCCATTATATTAAACAGAACAATGAAGTTGAAGGAGGATTTCTCTCTTGCATGGCACAACCACTAGACGGCAGCTGTCAGTTCCAGCTACCTACCAAGTTTAATGTAATGCTGATTGTCAGGATCTGAAAAAGAATCCAGGAGACACTAGGGGTCAGTGAGAATTCTGTAGCCCTTTCATCTGCGGATGGGAACTTGTTCAATATGAACAGTAAAACAGCTAAAGTCTCCAAACCTAATGCTATCTACGCTGATCATGTTCTTAACCTTTCAACATTTTTAGTCTTTTGACAAATTTTCATAGCCAACAGCACCATGCTAATGCCAAGGTAAGTAACAGTTTCAGACCCACAGAAGATTTTCCCAGGCAACATATGCACGATGTTAACATAGCAAAACGGTTTTCCTTTTACCATGTCAAATGACAAGGCTTCCATATATATAGCCCTGTCAAACTTTTATGCCCAAATAGCATGTTCTTGAGTTTCTGAAACAGCTGATACCTGTCAAAAGTTACAAAGCATGTAGGAAGGTCAGAGTAATACCAAAGAATGCTAAATCAGGATACATGTGGTAGCAGTGCTTTCAGCAAATTTTCACTGTGATCAGTTGAGCTCCTGGAAAAGTCTAATGTAATTTCCCATTCAAAATTTTAATTACTCTTCCAGTAACTTTATGAGTTTAGAACAACAGGGCACAGACAATCCATTAGCTGCAATAAATTAAATGAAAACATGTTTGAGACATTCTAAAAATCTGAACTCAACTGATTGAGTTTTTAAGAGATAGTGTGATAAATCAGAAGCCTCTGGATTTCTACAGGTAGTTCCTTATCCCTTCCTACCCTACCTCAAGAAGTCTGTGTGTGAGTTGTTCCAACACCCTTGAAGGGGAAGAAGGGAGTTGCACAGGGAAAAGGTGTAGGGAGTAAAAACAAACCTAAAACCCACAAAGCCAAGCCTTTTGATCAAAACAAAGAAATCTGATTTTGTAGTGTTAAGTATTTGTCTCTTCAACCACTCCCCTCTGTCTTCATCTTGGCATAACATGATGTGGGGTGGATTCCTCAGAAACCAATGGGCCATCCACAGGTGTCTATTACATCAACCCATCAGCTTTTACATGGGCAAGTACAATCTTGATAGCAGAAGCTGTTTTCTTACAATGTACATAAGCAGCCTACATGCATATGCAATTCATCACAGCAAGTCCTATATATGTTTGCGATGAGGCTTTCTACCCTATTGCAAGCAATCCTATAGGTAGTTAAACACAGGAAATACCTTGTTTAAAAACTTCAGTCTCAATCTGCTAGCTACACCAGCTTCAAACTGGAGAACCTTCTGAAAAGTGTATTTAAGAAAAGAGTTGATTTGGTCACATTTCCTGCTACTACACTGTTGTACGTCTTTCTAGGCAGAAGGCAGAGACTAAGAGATCTATAACATTCTTCTAAATGTAGCTGAGTCTAATGTTTAGGTTGTAAGAAGAAAATCCACAACTGATATGTATGTCTCCTGTAATCACATCCAACATAATAAATTCAAACACTAATGTTCCTCTGCAATGCCCCTTCATTTTTCATTATGGCAAGGCCCATGAAGACTCTCACTTCCTTGTTAGCTTTCTAAGTATTTCTGTGAGAAATTAAATGCATCCTAAATATTCTTTAAAAAAGGAAATTTCCATATCCTTATTTAAGGTCAAGTATGCTTGATAAACATTATTCCAGTAAATATTACGGGTAAGTGATTTCATGAGAGAGAACATTCCCAAGTTTTCCAAAACCAGGCAAATACTAAGGCCAGTGCATAATCCATGCAATAAGTAGTATTCTGCAGACTGATTTTTTTTGTATGCATCATATGCATGCATGCATTCCTGTATACAAAAATAAACAAAAAGATGTTAACATAATCTGTTAATAAAGATCGTTCTTAACGGCTATTTCATATCCAACAAGTTGAATTGAGAGGAAAAAGAACACTTTTAATCACTGAAGAATACTACTCTTCAAGGAACAAGGTACATTTGTACTGAAATTTATCTCCAAGCAATATTCAAGGACACTTACTTTCCTGCACAGAATGGGAATTTACGTATATATACACACACACAGCTCCTATCACTACATCAAAAGGGTACTCAAGTAAGATATAATGCCTGATAGTTTTCTGAAATATAAAACTACCATTAGAATCTGTGCAAATTTTTCTTTAAATAGCAATCGTCCAAAGTCACAACACTGTTCAAACTTATCACTACCTAAGGAACATTCTGATGAATCAGAAGCTATCGGGTCAAGTCTTCTTTAATGAAACCAGGAATTCTTTGTATTAGTTACCATTACAGTCATGTTTTAGAGCATATACATTCTCAAGAACACAAAGCTTTTGCCTCTGTAATCGAGCTCTGTGCAAAGAAAACTCTACAAGAGCTCGTTTATTCAGTAGTTTTAAGCTCTCATGCATTTCACTGTTTAATTACTTCCAGAAAATTTTAAACTGTGTAATTATTGGGGCTGAAATTAAACTTCTTTTAAAGAGCAAACATATAAGTCACCTTCTCCTCCTTGCCCCAAATCTTTTGGATTACTTTTCACAGAATCATAGAATGGTTTGGGTTGGAAGGGACCTTAAAGACCATCTCATTCCAACCCCCCTTCTTTGGGCAAGGACCCCTTCCCCCAGCCCAGGGGGCTCCCAGCCCCGTCCAACCTGGCCTTGAACCCTTCCAGGGAGGGGGCAGCCACAGCTGCTCTGGGCACCCTGGGCCAGCGCCTCACCACCTGCACAGGGAAGAATTTCTGCCTTAGATCTCATCTAAATCTGCCCTCTGTCAGTTTAAACCCATCACCCCTCATCCTCTCCCTACACCCCCTGATAAAGAGTCCCTCCTCCCCAGCTTTCCTGTAGCCCCCTTTAAGCACTGGAAGGTTCATACGCTTTTGGAAGAGAAGCTTGTATTTACAAAACCCCACAGATAAACCCCAAACTGAACTAATTTAACTGCTTATTTATGTGACAAAGCTGAATAAACACCCAAAACAACCGAAACACTTGGCTCACCAGAGTATTGCTCTTCTTAATATCTTCTAAACGCTCTAAGACTGAAGTCAGGTTTGGGTCATCTGATTCTACAAACCATATTGGTGATGAAGAGGGGTAAGACTCCTGTTAAAAAAAAACAACACAAAAGACCCAACAAATAAATAAACAAAAAACCCATAAAACTTTTAAAACTCATTCACCCCCAAAATTTCACAACACAGTATTAACATCACCTTTTATCTTATTCTAAGTCAGATAACACAGAAGCTTTTAATACAGCATTTTTAGGCAACACACAAGAAGTTGAAAGAAATCCAGCCAACTGGTGGTTCTAGTATTTCATCCTATTTTCATCTTGGTTAGATGATGGACATACATAAGAAACAGTGCTGAAAAGTTTAAAGCCCTGGTAGATCAGGAGGAAGAAATTTAGAAATGCAGTACACGTGATCCTTACCAAAAAATGGAAACACAAGTAGTACACGTCAAAGCACAAAACTCTACTGATGCTAATTTAACACAAAATTACAGATTCTTCCAAATAAAAGCTGCGGAAGTAACAAAACCTGGAGTCTTCAGATGTGGCCCACAACTGCTCACACAATCTACGACAAATGATCTTCCTGTCACTAAGATGTCACTTCCACTTATCACTGTGGAAAGATCCTCACTGTGGAAAGGTAAACCGAAGTCCTTTGCCTCTTGTTTAGATGTTTCAAAAAGCAATTCCCATTTTTTCCTAACAGGTCCGGTAACATTGTGAGGATAGAAGAAACCATGTAGCTTCCAACTCAACTGTAAGTGTCCCTTCATATCACTGGCATGCTTGGATTTTTTTGTTTAGTTTTAGTCATTTAAGGCGTTCTCCACTTCTCACCCATTCAATTAAATTCTAGTAACTGAGGACAAATTGCTGAACCTCAGCTTTATCACCCAGATATTATCTTCATATCCCCAGGTCTTACAAAATAATACGAGGGAATTTTCATTCATTTCCCTCACTGCAGTCTGAAAGAAAAAAATTCCCTATTTCTCATTCCAGAGACAACAAATCATGCTTCATTCTTCAACACTTAGTCAAAGTTCCTACTGCTACTTTAATAGGTGACTCGTAAATGTGCACCATGCTTTGAAATTTACACTCTTTCTGGATTGCATGGTATGTTTTTTGCTTTACAGTTTTCAAGACAGCAGTAAGAAGTTTCACAGAAGGAAGACATCATGCCTGTCTGTCAGTGTTATTGTCTGGTCTTTAGTGATTCCCAGGCAAACTTGTCCTAAGCAAGCTCTCAAAGTGCAAGTCCCAAAAGAAAAACCAAGACTCTCCTAACTTAAACTAGCTTCTGTCATTTCAAAGATGCCAGGTTTATTAGAACACAGAACAGTATCCGTTTGAAACTAGAGAAATATACAACTATGTTAGAGCTGGCTTTTAGTAATAGAAGCTTACTTCCTAACTGACCTTCTAGCTGAAGTGCTGATCCTCATCAATGAAGCCATGTAATTAGATAAAGGACATCAGCTTTGGCAAAACAGACTATCACAGCAGAGTTCCCACCTGACAGCGTGTTCTAGGGAAGTTCTAGCTCCAGAGGTTTCAGTTTACAGGTGGGAATCATAGATCTTTGCATAAACTGATTTTTAAAGAAGCTCAATCCCCTCCAAGTTTATATTTATCTTCTTAAAAATCACAGCTAGAAATACCTTAGAATACATAATATTCCTAGTATCTTTACGAAGAGATAAACCGTTTACATCCTTCAGCTTCACTCTGAAGCATACCATAAGCAAGCAGAGACCTTAGAACATCTATTCTTCATCAACTAAGGCCTAACATCTCAAATGTTTGTCAAGAAAATCCAGTGCTCAGCTTGACATGATTTTAAAGCTAAGGCAGGCAAACAAATGGGTAGTTACATGTGGTTTAACCACTTTCTTTCTTTACAAAATACTGTACCTTGGAAAAGTGTATTTTCTCTTGAGTTTCACTTAAGACGCTCTTGAAAGACTAACCACTATCACTGCAGGAGAATCAAGATTGAATTCCCAGCTGCCACTGGGTTCTCAAACTATTTTTTTTTTTTAAGAGCTATGCTTCATTAAAGATATTCCAGGTTTTGTATTGATAACACCACACTCATTTTTAATAACATGCAACCTACCTGTAAAGTCTTCAACAATATTGCAATATTCTTATATCAAGACTTTCAAACTGCACACTGGATCCTTATGCACAGTGGGGAACATCAGAGACTTTGCTAACTGTGGCCCTACTACCTGAAGATTTGTTTGAACCAGCTATTTTTGAGACCCAAACTTCTCGGGCCAGCTCATTAAGTTAAGAGAAAGGCAACAGGGCAAACACTACTACTGTGACTTTAGATTATGCCAACATTCCCATTAGCAAATACAAAGAACAAGCAAAATCCCTTCCAAGATTCATTGAGCCATCTGCTTCTTAAAATCCTCAGATTCATTAGAATAAGAATAGTCTCCAGATACAGTCAACATTTGGACTGTGTATGCACATTCTCCTAAAATGCATTTTTGGCAAGTTGTTTTTGGTTTTTTTAGGTCAAGCATTTGTTAATTGTGTTAGTCCAGGTCTAAGCAATGTCTATTAATTGCAATGTTTTACAGAAGATAAACATCTGTCAGTCTATTCTTGTAAACCGTATCTAGAATCCAAAGACTGCTTACAGAATGCAGCTCAGCTCTTCACTAGCTATACTCTTATTTTCTGACAGTTCTGTTTCTCCTTTCTCCACCAGATGGATTTAACAAACAAACCTACAGCAGGACATATATTAGTTGCAATCAGTATGTATCCCAGTCTGGGGCATCTATACAAAAAATCTCAAAAAAACATTTGCAGCAAATCCTTCACCGGACAGTGCAGATCTGAAGATCAAGCAATCCCACTATGTCTTTAAATACATTACAGTGGCTACTTGAATGTGCCGATGCCTTTGCACTGAATGACAGTCCTTCCTCATTCTTTGCTCTCATTCCAACTCATTCCATTATTTGCAATGAAAGCAAGTCCTGCTGTATGTGAGAAATACTAGGATTTGCTACTGCCTGCGTTCTTACTATATAGCACATATGAATTACTACACCCTAAAAATGATTAAATACTCTAATTCTTAGCCTGCTTTAGCTTTCAAAACATGATTGGGAACAATGCATTTATCAGAAAGGCTTTCCTTAACCACGGTGTCAGCATATTCACTCATCTGTATCAGATAAGATTTCAAATTTTGGACTTCTGGAATACGTATAGTTAATTTCATACTTGACCTTTTTCACAATAGATGTTTAATATTAAACTACAAGTTCAATAAAACTTCCAGTTTGTTGCAAAACTTTTTAATTCTTCAGACTTACCAAGAAATTTTTTCATTTAACTTAAAAACATAAATGGCACTAGGTTTCTCTAGATCTGTAAGTAATCCATACTTTTGGAACAGCTGAGTTTCATGTGGATATGAGTCATTATATTTTTAAATACAGATTTCACACACAAACTTCAAACATTCTGATCCTGAGCTATAAACAAGATCATGAGTTTGTAACACCATTGCATGCAATGAAAGACTGCGCTTGTGGTTTGTAAGGTCAAACAACTGAAATCCTCATGAGCTAAATCTGTTGAGAGAATTAAGTCAGCTTTTTCTCCCATATCTGCATCCTACAGGGAGAAGAGATGGATTTGAGTCATTACATCATGTAAGGGACACAAGATTCCTAAATACAACGGCAACATTTTGTGAGAGGAACCCTAGAATAGCAGTTGTTTTACGATTAATTCTCAGTGGCTAAAAAACCCACATTATTTTGGGCCTTTCATTATAAAAATGACATACAGTGAATTTGTATAATCTATTTTAGCTGCACAGATATCACCCATATTAAGTGTTTGAGATTTTTTTATGCAACTGCTGCAACATGACATTTTCCTATTCTCTACAAACAAAAGCAAAAAATCACAACAGGCAATGGCTACAATGCTTAGATTTGGGAAACTTTCACACGCTAATGCACGCTGTACAGCTTGGAAAGCTAATGCAATTGCTCAGTAAGGCAGGACACGCTGGGATGACATCACACCTAGCAAGTACTGAGTGAGGCTTGAGGACAAAGGCTGAATGTTTACAGCCAACCCAGATACAATTACAATTCATGGGATCATCACTTCTAGAGAGTCTTTGTATTAACACCAGGACAGACTGGGAGCTTTGTCAACACAAACGCTTCTGTAACAGAATGTAGCAAAAGAATTTAGCCTACTAATAAGCATACAAAATACAAAGAGAATCAAGCCCCGCACTCCTGCCACTGGAACAATTTCAAAACCTATCAAATCATTTAGGAAAACCACAGTGTATGAGAAGAATACACACACACTGTTCAGACATTCCACTGCACCCTCCATAAGAGGGCTTACTTTTATTAATAATTTTGCTTATCATAAAAAAAAAAAAAGGCAAGAAGTGACAAAAGATACCAGGGACACACAAAGACAGCTTTTCCTGGCTAGAGATCTGTTGTCTAAATATACCTTATCTAAGCTTTCTTGTCCTTAACAATAAGGCTGATTTACTTACAGTGTTATACAATCTTTATCTTGTTCTGTAAAGCTACAGCGACGCAATTTTGATGTAAAAGAACTTTAACATGAGCTATTTCTAAATTACTATAATACTGCTGAAATTGTGAAGTTGCTAAATTAAAACAACACATCTTGCTCATTTCTAAGATTAGAACAACCTGTACACACAGTTTGCTATGGGGTAATAAGAGTAACCACGTCTCCTTGTACACAACAGAGCCATTTTATCATGGCCAAATGATAGGAAAACACATTTAAATACACGTCTCCAGCACTATGATTTAAAATTGCAATTACATGCTGACAGTTCTTCATTTTCTTTAATTTCCAGATCATCTTAGATTTTTTTTTTTTTATTTTAAACCTCATTAGCATAATGGCTGAACTTAATTCAAACAATTTTGTTTCTTTTCTGTTTCTAAGTTTTTGCAAAATCTCCATTGTTGACAGAACCTTATTCTGTTCTTTTTACACAAGCTACAACTACAACTTAAGTGATTTTCATAACAGC